CTCCAGTGGCTTGAAAAACACATTGAGTATGTGTGTTCCTGTGCCCTGAATCTTGAAGGGATAGAGAAATGGAGGAAATGGATTGCAGCATGGCCACACCTCACTGGAGTGTTTTCTCTCTCTCACGCTCTGGTGAGTACACACATACTCTGGCAATAAAAAACAAAATGACCAAAAAATTAAAATCTTTTTCAGTACTTGTTTTCTCTGAGCAAGGGTATTACATAATCTGGTATTTTAGGGTGCATGCTGAGCTGGAAGCTAGAGAGACTAGAGGCAAGAAGATCCGTCAGGAGACTGTTACTATATTCCTCATGAGCGATAAAGACTACCTCAAAGAGATAAGGAGTAAAAAGGAAAGCATAAAAATAAAACTGTTTTTTGTTTTCTCAGAGAAATAGCCTTTGAAGTAGGATTACCAGATAAAATACTCACTCTAAAAACATTGTTATTTACCTGGAATTCAAATTTACCTCTCCTCCTAGGTGTTTTGTTCTGTTTTCTAAATCTGATGACCCTACTTTTTCAGAGGCACTTCAAAGGACCTCAGGGGCTTCTTGTCCAGGTACTGGGCCATCCAACCTCCAAGACTTTCTCTATCCCAGGCTAGCCCCTCGTTCTCTTCCCAGTACAGGCCCCAGGAACTTGGACCTTGTCTCTTTACTCTTAAATATTGTCACCGCTTTATCCCCTGGGCTTCCTCTGCAGAAGGCCAGACCATGAAGCAACTTGTGGTTGCCCTAGCTACTCCCTTCTCAGCTGCTTACTCCAAAAATAATCCCTGGCCTCTCAGGAGAGTTTTAGCTCTAATCACCAGAGAAATACAGAGAAAAACAAACACAATTGGTAACAAAGAATATATATATATATATATATCAAGTTTGTTTGTTAAGGTTTTGCCGATAGAGCACATGCATTCACCAGAGAGAGAGAGAGAGAGCCACTAAAAGGGAAATTGAGAAATCTCCTGTAGGGAGCTGCCAGATCTGGACAAAGCACTAGCCACGTTTAAAGAATTATTTTATTTGACTTTATTTATTTAATTATGTATTTAAATTTGACCAGAGAGAGACAGAATTGGGGGTAGGGGAGTGCAGCAAGAGAGCAAGCCGCCAGGTCCTGGGACTAGAACTATAGTCAGCCATTTGGCCACATGGCCAACTGCAGTTCGAGTCCCAGACCTGGTGCCTTGTTTTCTCACTTTCCCTCTCTCTCTCACTCTCTCACATTCTGTCCCTCTCTGGTCAAATTAAAATAAGTAAATAATGTTTTTTTGTTTGTTTGTTTGTTTTTTGTTTTTTTTTTTAAAAAGAAGGTAAAAAATTGTCTTATTGGGGCTGGCAGGTGGCGTGGTGGTTAAGGACACTGGACTCCCACATGGCCGACCACGGTTCAAGTCCTGGACCTGGAGGCTTGCTCTCTCACTTTCCCTCTCTCTCTCTCTTGCTCTGTCCCTCTCTGGTCAAATTTAAAAAATGAAATGAATTAATAAATAAAGCTAAATAAAATAATTCTTTAAAAAAATTGTCTTATGAAAAAAAGTTAAAGGTTGAATAAATTCACATGCAGTTTTGTACATATTTAATTCCATTAAAAATACACTATAAGGGGACCAGCAAGTGGCCCCAGTAGTTAAGGCACTGGACACTCCCACATGGCCACAGTATGAATCCCAGACCTGGTAGCTTATTTTCTCACTTTCCCTCTCTTTCTCTCTCTGGTCAAATTAAAATAAATGAATTAATTAATAAAATTAAATAAATAATTATTTTTTTAAAATACATGATAGGAAATGTAAATTTAAAAAAGAAATTAAAAAAAGAAATTGGGGACTGGCAGGTGGCATGGTGGTTAAGGCGCTGGACACTCCCACATGGCCGACTGTGGTTCAAATACTGGACCTCGTGGCTTGCTTTCTCACTTTCTCTCTCTCTCTCTCTCTGTGTATCTCTCTCTGGTCAAATTAAAATAAATAAATGAATAAATAAAATTAAATAAATAATCGTTTAAAATTTTTAAAAATAAAAAAATTATAATAAAACTTTTCCAGATATAAAAAAATATAATAATCTTAGTAGAAATTAAATATTTCGAACAGTTATACGGGTACTTCAAAATGTTTATGGAAAAAAAATGTACTTAAACTATGAATTCCTTTTGAATCAAAATTTGAAATCTATGCGTAGTGGGCCAGCAGGTGGTGTGATGGTTAAGGGCACTGGTTTCCCACATGGCCTACCATGGTTCAAGTGCCAGTCCTGGCAACTTGCTTTCTCCCTTTCCCTTTCTCTCTCTCTGTCGCTCTCTGGAGCCAAATTAAAAAATAATAATAGGGACCAGCAGTTGGCATAATGGCTATGTCGCTGGAATCCCATGTAGGCAACCACGCTTTGAGTTCCAGACCCAGTGGCTTAGACTCACGCCGGGTGCGTGTGCGTGTGTGCCCAAGATCCTGAGAGGAGAATGGAAGTGAAGGGATTGTGGCGTGGCCATCCTCCCTGCGGGATGATTTCTTGCTTTCTGTCTGTCTCTCTGTGTCTTTCTGGTGAGAACATGTGCCCTGTATTAAAAACCTCTCTAAAAAATAATAATGATAATAATAACAACAAATGGAATTAAATGTTCTTTAAAATAAAGAAATCTATGCATATTTTTTAAAAGAATTATTCTATTTAAGTTTATCCACTTATTTCAATTTAACCAGAGAGGGAGAGAGCAAGAGAGAGCAAGAGAGAGTGAGGGAGAGAGTGAGACAGAGCAAGAAAGAAAGTGAGAAAGCAAGCCACCAGGTCCGAGACCCAAACTGTGCTAGGCTTATGTGGGAGTCCAGCGCCCTTACCCACCACTACCCCACCCACCTGCCAGCTCCTGCGTAGTTTTATTTTTATAGCATGCCTTTTTTAATGAACTTTTTGAAGACCTCCCCTCATACAAGCAACTTAAGGTTTGCCTGGTTGAAAGGTTCTGCTGAAGGGAAGTCAAAGGAGTTGCAGACTCTGACAGCCATGTGTGATTTGATGAAAGGAGAGAAATGAATGCTGGGAGCAGGGTTAGAAAAAGGTGATGAGGGTATGGATGGCAAAAATAAAGGGAGCAGAATGGATTTGAAGGACTTAGGAGGATGCAACCGTGAGAAGGGAAGCGCTCAATCCCATTCAGGAGAGGAAAGTGAGCTTTTGGGGGTAGTTATGGATGGTGTTTGGCTGGCAGTGGGAAGGAGAACTTCAAAACTCTGGTCCAATTGTGTGGTCACTATTATGGATGGTCATTACTCCCAATCCCCATAAATCTGTTCAATCCTTCTAGAGCTAGAATAAGACTTGAATTTAGTGTCTCATAAAAAGTAAAATACTGGGGCTGGCAAGTGGCATGGTAGTTAAGGCGTGCTAGACTCCCACATGCCCGACCACTGTTCAAGTCCTGGACCTGGCAGCTCGCTTTCTCACTTTCCCTTTCTCTGTCTCTCTCTGGTCAAATTAAAAATAATGATAATGATAAATAAAATGAAATAAAATAGTTATTTTTTTAAAAAAAGAAAACTGGGGTCAGCAGGTGGCATGGTGGTTAAGGGCACTGGACTCCCACATGGCCCACTATAGTTCAAGTTCTGAACCTGGCGGCTTGCTTTCTCACTTTCTCTTTCTCTCTCTCTCTTTCTCTCACTCTGTCCCTCTCTGGTCAAATTAAAAGAGAGAAAGAAAGAAGCAAGGAAGGAAAGAAGGAAAGAGAAAGTGAAAGAAAGAAGAATGAGAGAAAAAGAAAGAGAAGAAAGTTAAATAAAATAATTCTTTTTAAAAAATCCCTTTAAAAAAAAGGTTAAATTCTATACACTTGTTCATGTTGTATGAAGAAGTAAAAGAAGTTTTTCAAAATATATATATATATACACACTAATGGAGGCTGGCAGGTTGTGTGGTGTTCATGGGCTGAACTCCCACATGGCTGGCTGCAGTCTGAATCCTGGACCTGGCAGCTTGCTTTCTCACTTTCTCTATGTCTTTCTCTGGTCAAATTAAAATAACAATAATAGTAATAATGAATAAAATTAAATAAATAATTCTTTTTTTAAAAAAAAGTACCCTCTTGGGGCCAGAAGGTGGTGTGGTGGTTGAGGCTCTGGACTCCTATTTGGGCAACTGCAGTTTGGATCCCAGACCTGGTGGCTTGCTTTTTCACTTTCTCTTTGTCGCTCTCTGGTCAAATTAAAATAAATAAATAAATAGATAATTTTTAAAAATATTTTTTAAAAACCCACAAAAATCTAACTTTTTTTTGAGGGAAGAACAACAAAAAAAGGAAACATTTTTTAATTTTTTGGAGAGGTTTTTGCTATAAGGGCGTGTGTGCTTGCCAGAAAGACAGAAAGAGACAGAAAGTGAGAAATCACCCCCCGGGGGGATGGCCAAGCCACAATCCCTTCTCCATTCTCCTTTCCGGATCTTGGGTACTCACACGCGCCCAGCGTAAGTTTAAGCCACCGAGTCCTGGACTTGAACCACAGTCGACTACATGGGAGTCCATCAACATAGCCATGTATATATATACATAATATACATAATGTGTGTGTGTGTGTGTGTGTGTATAAAATATCCATATATATAAAATATATAACCACATATATATGCGTATATATACATAAATTAAAAATGTGTATATATGTGCAAAATATACATACATATATATAAATCTTCAAAAATAGAAAACTACCATGAATATAATCTGGTTTCCCCATAAAGTTAACATGGGAATAAACTGGGGATATTAGCACTTACTTTTACTTTTGAAGAAATTAAAAAGTATCTAGTCCCAAAATGGTTCCTTTTCCCAGCTCCTAAAATCTGGAGATTTTTTAAACAGGGAACTACAACTCCCCAAATGCCCTTGGCCGGGTGGTGCCGCCCGCCAGCCACCCCCAGAGCCTGCGTTTCCCAGATAGTCCAGGGTCGGGGTAGGAGACGGCCTTTCCTGGGCGCCCCCTCGCGGGGCGTTTCCGCGCCAGTCCCGTTCCCGACGGCCCTCGCGGCAGGTTCCGGCGTCAGCACAAATCGTGATGGCGGGTGCTGGTTCCGCCGCTGTGTCCGGGGCAGGGACCCCGGTGGCGGGGCCCACAGGCCGCGACCTCTTCGCCGAGGGGCTCCTGGAGTTCCTGCGACCCGCGGTGCAGCAGCTCGACTCTCACGTGCACGCTGTCAGGTGTCAGAGGGGGCAGGTGGGGGCGGGCTGAGGTAGGGCGGAGACGAGATTCAGCGACTAATAGATTGGGGAGACTGATTTGAGGCGGGGGAGAACCCGAGGGGTTTCCGGCTGAAGGCTGAGGGGTGTGATGAGGCTGGCTTCTCTGATTACCTGAGAAATAACGCGAGGGAATTCGGTTCGCGCCTCCTTTAACTGACTGACCGTGTAGGCCTTGTACCTTTTTGCAGAGAGAGTCAGGTTGAACTCCGGGAACAAATTGACAACCTAGCTACAGGTGAGTGAATATCCCCATGAACCCGGAATCCTCGAACTCACTTTCGGGACTTATGTTATGTCTGTTTCTGGGCTGGGTTTTTGTCACTTGGACATCAGTCCCAAGTTCAGACTTATTCCAGGGATGTTTTTAGTGGCTGTGGCCCATGGGAGTTCAAGAGTGTCCCGTTACTAATCTTTCCATAAGAACAAGAGATGATCGGGAACCAGCAGTTAGCGTAATGGCTATGTCGATGGACTCCCACGTAGTTCGACCGCGGTTCGTGTCCCGGACCCGGTGGCTTAAAACTCATGCCGGGCGCGTGTGCGTGTGTGCCCAAGATCCCGAGAGGAGAATGGAGGAGAAGGGATTGTGGCGTGACCATCCCCCCGGGGGGTGATTTCTCGCTTTCTGTCTCTATGTCTCTCTCTGTCTGTCTGGCGAGCGCACGCGCCCTACAGTGAAAATCTCTCCAAAAAAGAACAAGAGATGATCCATTAGATACTAGTTGCATCTTAACTTCCATCCCCAGAACTATGCCGTATCAATGAGGATCAAAAAGTGGCCCTGGATCTAGACCCCTATGTTAAGAAACTACTTAATGCTCGTCGGAGAGTTGTCTTGGTCAACAACATTCTACAAAATGCCCAGGTAAACAAACTCATTTCCTACCAACAGTGATTCTGTCATTTCGTAGGTCCTCCATATATAATGAGAAGTTACCATAATTTTAAGAATGGGGGAAGGGCAGATGGCACGGTGGTTAAAGCACTGGACTCCTACATGGCCTACCACTGTTTGAGTCCTGGACCAGGAGGCTTGAAAATGACACCAGGCATGTATGCATGTGTGCGAAAATGGAGACGGAGTGTGGCATGACCATCCCCCTCCCCCACCAGGGGTGATTTCTTCTTTCTCACCGTCTCTCTCTGGTGAATGCATGCACCCTATGACAATAACCTTAAAAGAAAATATCCTTGGGAAAAGGGAATTCTCAGGTCAGCCATAATAAACCATCGTTCTCATTCTCAGTATCCACTTGCGTTTAACTTAAGACTGACTGAGCAACCTAAATATTTTTCTGTACCTAGTTGTCTAAACTTGAAAGCCTTTTACGGCAATTACTAGATTCCCAATCTTGTCTTATAGGAACGGCTGAGGCGGCTAAACCACAGTGTTGCCAAGGAAACAGCCCGCAGGAGGGCAATGCTGGATTCAGGAGTTTATCCTCCTGGTTCCCCAGGCAAATAACAGGCATGCCCTGGCTTTAGGAGTAGCACAAGTAGGTGTTTCCCAGCTGCCGTTTCTACAGATGTGAAGATTCCAGGAGACCTCTTTGGACCTTAGCGCTCAAGTTGTACCCATTCATGGTGGGGAGGGGGGCTCAAGAAATGTACGTGCAGCAGGACGCAGGTTTCCAAAGGACTTACGTACAATACTACTACAGCTTTTACTTCTATGAACAAGCTGAAGCCTCTACGTTTTTTAATTGCTACATATTCAAGGCTCACCCTCTGCAGGCTTAACCAGTCAGGCTTCCTTTGTCACATACCTGTTACATGGGCCTGGGCAGTATATCCCTCTACCTGTGCTCTCATTTTCCTTTGTTTACACTGAGGATTTGGAGGAGAGGGCAGGCAGGCAAAGTGTATGGCCTCTGTCTAGCCTCTTTTGATTGCACTGGCTTGAATATGGTAGCAGTATTGCTAGAACTATTTAATTCAATAAATGCTTCAATGCTATTCTCTGATACAGGAAAGTTCCAGGCGTCTATACCTTTAATTCAAACATAGCTTCAAATCATGATCTTAATGTTTATAATCAGCAGGAGCAGGGTCAGCCAAGTGGAGGTTAAGGTGACTAGACACCACATAGCCAACTGCACATTTCTGTCCCAGCAGCTTGAGAAACTTGCCTGCACATGTATAAACATGCCTACCCAAAATCCCAAGAGGGAAAAGATTATGGCATGACCATCTCCCTGGGAGCTGATCCTCTCCTCCCCTCCCTTCCTGTCTCCATCTAATCCACACACTCCATAGCATAGTAAAAAAATTAACGACTCAAGCAAAGACCAAAGAGAGCAAAAGGAAGCAAGAAAATTTGCCACACGCCCAAAAAAAGACCAAGGGTCCTACTAGGAAGTATTTTAATTGTTTTTCTTAAAAAAAAAAAAAAAAAATTTTCAGACACTAAGAGTTCACAACATTTCAACAAAGTATTGGTTGAGAGGGTTATTCAGGAGTGGGGGTTCTAGAGTATTAGGAAGAAATGTTGGTATCTTGCTTCATTATAGATGGATGGTACAGGTTATAAATGGGAAACATCTGGCTACTCAGCCAGTATCAAAACTCAGAGGAATGACATTTCCTTTTATAGTTTGTTTTCCTTCCTGCATCTTCCCTAATCCACAGAAATGCCAGCATAAGCATAGCAGCTGCTAGCTTAGGCTCCAGTCTTCCCCTTGGGGAGAATAGGGAATGAAGGGAAGGTCACTCCTGAGTCTCCATGCTTTCCTCTTCCTCTCCTTGAGGTGGTTCTTCTGTATTCTCTTCCTCCTCTTCTCCTTCCTTTTTCTCTGGTGGCTTCTCATAAGCCTTTTCTGAAGGTGTCACTATCACCCCATCCCAGGTAGATATTTCAGACGCGAGATCTAGAAGAAAAAAGGTGACTCAGACAAGTAGCCCAGAACGCAAGTCATGATTTACACAGTGAAAGTATTAACATATCTGAGTAGTGTACAGCTTTGTAGACCACAGAGTACCAGAAGAAACCCCTGACCCACAGGAGCACTCACAGCTGGCATCACCCTCCTGGCCAAGGATCTTCCTAAAGCCACCATGTGAGAGGATTCGGACCAGAGTCTGAGCTGTGTAGCAGACCATATCCTGAAAGAGAGTCAAGCAGGGGTAAATTAGCAAGCAGAACCAAAGTACAATTTTGTTTACTATTTATTTGACTAATGTCCTTGTGAAAACAGATGAAGACAACTTTTAATCTCAAGACCAAAAGAACTCCAGATCCCTGGATCCCTAAAGACCACATTCCCTTTGCATTCTCACCAGGATTCAAGAATGGGGAAGAATAGACCATTTCATAGCTGTCTTAATACCTGTTGTTCCAGAGTCATGACTGTGTGTACTCTGAAGTTGCCACTCTCACAGGGGTCAGTGATACCCACTGAACCTGGCAGAAATAGTCCTGCAGCCAGAATCTGCAAGCAACGTCTGAAACACAGGAAGAAGATGAAAAGAACATATAAAGCCTATACCAGTATTTTTTTAATAACTTTTATTTATTCATTAGTTAATTTATTTTTAAATAATTATTTTGTTTAACTTAATATTTATTTACTTTAATTTGACCAGAGAGGGACAGAGCGAGAAAAGGAAAGCGAGAAAGCAAGTCACCAGGTCCGGGACTTGAACCATGGTGAGAGCTCTTAACCACCATGACACCTGCCAGCCCCTCATTAGTTTAATTTGACCAGAGAATGAGTGAGAAAGCTAGCCACCAGGTCCAGCACTTGAATCATAGTCGGCTATGTGAGAGTGTCTAGCATCTTTACCACCACGTCACCTACTGGCCCTGCCTATACCAGTATTAAACCGAAAGATGCATACTGTACCTGTATGCCACATTTAGGGCCAAAGGCTGTCTAGTGGGGTTATTCATCACAGCATAATGCCCCTGGAAAATAAAAAATCTGGTTAAGTGTGCTATCAAAGTAGCCATTCTGTCTTCAACCAAAAACTTTAAAGCATCATGAGGAAAACTGGTCATAAGATACAACCAGTGTTGGGGCCAGTGGGTGGCTAAGGGTGCTGGGCTCCCACATGACTGACCACAGTTCAAAGTCCTGGACCTGGTGGCTTGCTTTCTCACTCTGTCCCTCTCTGGTCAAATTAAAATAAATAAAGTTTATTATTTTAAAAAGGTACAGCACTTTTTTGTGTGTTGAAAAGCAATTCTTTTAAGTAATTTCTCTCCAATATCACAGTAACGAAAAAAGAACAGTAATGAAAAGACAAAAGGGCACTGTAACTCATTTATCAACTAGTCAAAAAATTCAATGAAATAAAACCTCAGATCTTTACTGGATTATGTGCCCATCAATGAAACTTGTTTTTCTTTTTTTTACATTTGCTATAGGAGGCATGTGCTTGCCAGAGAGAAACAGAGAAAGTGGAAAAGCATCCCACAGTGCAGGATGACCATGTTAAAAGCCCTTCTCCATTCTCTCAGGATTTGGAGCATGAACACACATGTGTTCAGCATGTTTTTAAAGCCACCAGGTCCAGGACTTGAACTGCAGTTGGCCATGTGGGATCTAGGCACCTTAATCAACATACCACCTGGCTGGCCCTGAAATTTCTTTTAAGCTTTACCAAATTTCAGATTCTAGAAGAAAATTTCAGAGTAACTACTATTGAATAGCCCTTCTACTTACGAGTAGGTCAAGGATCCAAGGTGTAAGAGGCTCAAAGCCAGGAAAACGAATTCTCAGGTCCTTCAGCAGTCTGATGAGAACTTTAACTCTGAGAGTTAGAGGGATGCAAAGATTAAAAGTAAGATCGTGTGTTTCCACACCTCAGGTAGAGTCAAAGCTGACCATACTATTTCTAGAACTACACATTCTCTCTCAATCTTTCACTTAAGGTTTAAAAAAAAAACAACAAAAACAAAAACAAACAAAAAAAAAACCCAGACACGTGATCATAACCCAAACAGTTCTGTCAGAAATAGGAGGGGTGTGTGTGTGTGTGTGTGTGTGTGGTGGGGGGGGTATCCTGCTATTCACTGTAATTAGAAAGGTTATCTTTTTATTTTTGTTAAAGAACTATTTATTTAACTTGCTGATCCTTCTTTAAAAAAAAAAAAAAAAACTTGACCAAAGAAAGAAAGAAGACAAGCCATCAGGTCTAAGACTTGAACCACAGTCCACCATATGGAAACACAGCATCCTAACCACCACACCACCTGCCAGCCCCAGGAAGGTTATCTTAACTAGTTGGGGAGGGACTCACGTAGACTGAGAAGCATTTTCCTCAAACCAGCGGGCATGTCGAATGGCCGCTAAGGCACTCTGCAACACTTTGATATCCACTAGAAGACAAGCATAAAAAGCTAGGATGAAACATTCCTATATTTTTTTAATTATTATTTTTTAAAAATTTGTCCAGAGAGAGAAGGGAGAATAAGAAAGCAAGAAAGAAAGCCTCAAGGTCTGAGACTCAAACTGTGGTCATGTGGGAATCTAACACCTTAACTACCATGCCACCTGTCAGCCCCAAAACAGTTCTATGATTAAGCAAGCAGTTCAATCCCATTGCTACAGTGAAAAATTTGGGAGAACAGGGTAACTTAGCAATTCTTTAAACCATCCCATGTTCTTCAGATCACCAAATCACTTGTCCAAAAATCACTATTCCATGGGGCCAGCAGGCGGTGTGGTGGATAAGGGTGATGGATTCCCACATGGCCAACCATGGTTCAAGTCCCGGGGCTGCTTTCTCGCTTTCCCTCTCTCTTTCTTTCTCTCTGGTGGTCAAAACAACAACAACAACGAAGGGAATTAAATAAATATTAAAAAAAAAAAATCACCATTCCTCCCCCAAACCAAATCTAGAAGAATGCAAGCTCCATGATTTTTTCCAAAAACCTGTTCTCCATATACATTTCTTTAGTCCATTTTAGTTTGCCAACTGCTTTAATGGCCATCCTTTGAAAATTTCACTAACAAGCTGGTAGTGAACAAAGTTACCTTACAGAGGGCTAGACAAAGTTCAAGGCAAACTTAGGTCCTACAATTCCCAGAAAACTATGTGAATAGCAACAAGCTAAGTAAACTCAACAGTAACAATACTATGTTTTGAATTTTCCACAAATGGGAAAAAAATAAGTAACAAACTAACAATGGAGTTCAGGGTCCAGTTTTCGGAGATTTGGTGGCACTGTTGTAATAAGAATCTTCACTGTAGCATCAGAAGAACTGATTTCAAAGCCAGTTTCGTTCGTCAGCATGGTCAAAACTGAAAGAACAGAACAACAAAACTGTAATTTTCTTTCCATCAGAAAATGGGGGAAGAGAGAAGAGGTCGTTTTTGTTTTTTTTTTTCCTTTTGGAGAGGTTTTTGCTATAGGGTGCGTGCGCTCACCAGAGACAGAAAGCGAGAAATAGGCGGGGGGGGGGGGG